CGATTACCAGATACATATCATGCATGAACAGGGAGTGTTGACATCTGTATTGGATAATTACACTTCTGATCTAAGATTACATCATGTCGGATCCTTCATAACTCTTATATAGCTGCTAAGGAAACACAGAAATCCCTCGATATATATAAAAAAAGGAGCCTTGAGCTCAGTAGTTCCATTTGCCATATCTGTGGAAAATATACCACTCCACTTTAATAGGGATTTTTTGACCCTCCATAAAACTAATCTATGTCAGGTTTATGTTCAATATTAATGGAATAATTGATTATCTTGCAAAGTGGAGCAGAACATGAACTAGACATGTTATCATTATCCTGGCAACATACTGTGTGCATCAGTATACCGTTCTAATGAGTCATCTGTGAAAACATCAACATTGTTCACAGGTAGGTTATCGTTGACATTGTACACCTCCCGGGGCGTTAGGTCGGGAGAGTGAGGGGGGTATATAGGCATGACTGTTGGCATTGCCTCGGTGTTGTGTGATGATGATGATGATTTGGAGTTTTCTTGTGCGTAATGGGTATCGGTGTTGTGAAAGTAGTACATGCCCTTGTATAGATTCCCAACAACCATATCCGGTTATAAATTCTCCCAGGTCTCAGGACATAATGTCACGGCAACATAAATATAAGCAATAACTTGATTCCCCTTGACAATTTTCATAATCCAAGCTCCGAAAGTCAATAGATATATAAACTATTTATCAAAAGTCTGAAGAGAATATTGCTCGATCAATGACTGACGTGACCTCAAGAATACACGACTGAGTTCTGGGAAAATGCCACTCCTTGTCTCTCTGTAATGGTTCAGTGGCTACATTGACCAATGACGTAATCTGACCTTGATCTGCACGACTGACCACACACACAATCAAAACACGCTGCGGCACGTGAGATCGCAACATTGCTCAACACTTGAAAGGGTATTATCGGTAAGGTGACTTCGATTAGATAATCTCGTTCACTGTGGGTGACTCACAAATAGCGGGGGTGGGACTGGTATTTCCAAGTTGCGCTATTGTATAGAGTTACATCGGTTTTCACCAATAATACCAAATTTTACTGAAAATATTAACATTTATACAATAAACACATGTAGTCAGTCAGAGATACATTGTATACCTATACAAGAATTCTGATAAACATCTGTTGTGTTGTAAACATGACATGGCTTCACGGACAGTACTAGTGGCAGGTTATTCATGGTGGAAATATTGATCAACATGCACTGCTTTTGGAATTGCCATCACATTTAAATGAACCTATCTCCCAATTAGGTCATATACATGTATCAATCATTAAGACGTGTTGTATAATGAGGTCTGAACATGAAGTAACATCAAGAAAATAACATGTATGGCTTGCCCGTGTCTTGGTTAAATAGACCGTGATAACATAGCGCAGTGTTACTCTCTCTCCTCTACGCAAAACAACGGTCGTGATGATAATATTAATTAAATTATTTTGAAAAAACGATGGTCATCAAAGTATAGACACACCACAAATAGACTTACCTCAAACTAATCAACTGTTCCAAGTTTTATATGTATCTCCAGTAATCGGCAGCACACCGGTGACACACAATAGGACGGTCACAGCAGTAGATACTCCGAACTGACAATGCGACCTCTCCACTTCTCAACCTATTTCCGCTGTCTCTGACTGTACGGTTTCGTGCGGCCAGCATGGGAACGAAATCGCCCCTTCCCCCGTCCAGAATATATATACCGACACTACGTAAGGAAATGGGACGGGACAGTAGGACTCACTGGTCACTTGGGACGACTAGTTCACATGAACACCACACAATCCGCCATTGCCACTCGTCACCCCGTATGAATCAACCAGCCGCCATGTGTTTACACGGGATCTTACCTGACACGGGCAGGTAACTCTGTTGATTACAATTTTACCTGTAGGCAAAGGGAGAACAGCTCGCGCTGAAAATTATCATTTGAGTTGGAGAGGTGACGTGAAATTGGGTTTAACGTCGTGCTTGAGAAATATTTCGCTCATATGACGACGTGCATGCGTGTGTATGTGCGGCTGCTTGTACTAGCCCAGACTGAAGCTGGTTTTATAGTGCTAGCCCACTGAGATACCATGCCGCAGTGAAGCATGAATACCCCCTCAGACACATTATACTGACTCCGAGCCGACCAGTCCTTGTTGTACCCATTAATGCCGAGGCGCTAGGCAGGGACCAACAAGTACCATATTTTAACGTCTTTTGGTATGACGCGGTCGGGGATCGAACCCGCGACCTTGCTTCCGCTCTCTGAGTTGGAGAGTCTATTGCACATCAACAGCGAAAATGTTAAAGCTGGACCTTTCAGCATGCAACATAAATGTAGTTGATCATTGTTCATAAAAGCTTAACCTGATTAATACAAGGTTAGAAAACAGTTAAGGAAACCCGACTGTCGACATAGGCATGGGCACGAGGGTTAATTTGTCATGTTTACTATCTTCCGTTAATGTCGCTGGATACACCCATCACATAAATCACTTGAAATTGGTTCCGTATCATATTGCAGCAAAAGGTCGAAATACACCCCACGCACACCCCAAAAGAGAACACCCCCCCTCCCCAAAAAAAAAAAAAGCCCAACAAAAAACCAAACCCAAACAAAACAAAACAATTAAGAAAATTTACTATATTTACACTATGGATATGGATATCACGATTCGAAGACACTTCGATGGATCATTACACCCTTGCCTACCAAAGCCTCATGCTTTTGGTATCGTGAGGGATACAGTTCTCTAGTGTGAGTGTGACACAATTACCTTATGTGAGAGGGATACAGTTCTCTAGTGTGAGTGTGACACAATTACCTTATGTGAGAGGGATACAGTTCTCTAGTGTGAGTGTGACACAATTACCTTGCGTGAGAGGGATACAGTTGTCTGGTGTGAGTGTGACACAATTACCTTGCGTGAGAGGGATCCAGTTGTCTGGTGTGAGTGTGACACAATTACCTTGCGTGAGAGGGATACAGTTGTCTGGTGTGAGTGTAACACAATTACCTTGCGTGAGAGGGATACAGTTGTTGGGTGTGAGTGTGACACAATTACCTTATGTGAGAGGGATACAGTTGTCTGGTGTGAGTGTGACACAATTACCGTGCGTGAGAGGGATACAGTTGTCTGGTGTGAGTGTGACACAATTACCGTGCGTGAGAGGGATACAGTTGTCTGGTGTGAGTACGACACAATTACCTTATGTGAGAGGGATACAGTTCTCTGGTGTGAGTACGACACAATTACCTTATGTGAGAGGGATACAGTTGTCTGGTGTGAGTGTGACACAATTACCTTGCGTGAGAGGGATACAGTTGTCTGGCGTGAGTGTAACACACAATTACCTTGCGTAGAGAGGGATACAGTTGTCTGGTGTGAGTGTGACAAAATTACCTTGTGTGAGAGTGATACAGTTGTCTGGTGTGAGTGCGACACAATTACCTTGGGGGAGAGTGATACAGTTGTCTGGTGTGAGTGTAACACAATTACCTTGGGTGAGAGTGATACAGTTGTCTGGTGTGAGTGTGACACAATTACCTTGCGTGTGAGAAGGATACAGTTGTCTGGTGTTAGTGTGACACAATTACCTTGCGTGAGAGGGGTACAGTTCTCTGGTGTGAGTGTGACACAATTACCTTGCGTGTGAGAAGGATACAGTTGTCTGGTGCCAATGTGACACAATTACCTTGTGTGAGAGAGATACAGTTGTCTGGTGTGAGTGCGACACAATTACCTTGCGTGAGAGAGATACAGTTGTCTGGTGTGAGTACGACACAATTACCTTGCGTGAGAGGGATACAGTTGTCTGGCGTGAGTGTAACACAATTACCTTGCGTGAGAGGGATACAGTTGTCTGGTGTGAGTGTGACAAAATACCTTGTGTGAGAGTGATACAGTTGTCTGGTGTGAGTGCGACACAATTACCTTGGGGGAGAGTGATACAGTTGTCTGGTGTGAGTGTAACACAATTACCTTGGGTGAGAGTGATACAGTTGTCTGGTGTGAGTGTGACACAATTACCTTGCGTGAGAGGGATACAGTTGTCTGGTGTTAGTGTGACACAATTACCTTGCGTGAGAGGGGTACAGTTCTCTGGTGTGAGTGTGACACAATTACCTTGCGTGTGAGAAGGATACAGTTGTCTGGTGCCAATGTGACACAATTACCTTGTGTGAGAGAGATACAGTTGTCTGGTGTGAGTGCGACACAATTACCTTGCGTGAGAGAGATACAGTTGTCTGGTGTGAGTACGACACAATTACCTTGCGTGAGAGGGATACAGTTGTCTGGTATGAGTGTGACACAATTACCTTGCGTGAGAGGGATACAGTTGTCTGGTGTGGAGTACGACACAATTACCTTGCGTGAGAAGGATACAGTTGTCTGGTGTGAGTGTAACACAATTACCTTGCGTGAGAGGGATACAGTTGTCTGGTGCGAGTGTGACAAAATTACCTTGGGTGAGAGGGATACAGTTGTCTGGTGTGAGTGTGACACAATCATCCTTGCGTGAGAGGGATACAGTTGTCTGGTGTGAGTGTGACAAAATTACAGTGTGAGAGTGATACAGTTGTCTGGTGTGAGTGTGACACAATTACCTTGCGTGAGAGTGATACAGTTGTTTGGTGTGAGTGCGACACAATTACCTTGTGTGAGAGTGATACAGTTGTTTGGTGTGAGTGCGACACAGTTACCTTGAGTGTGAAAAGGATACAGTTGTCTGGTGTGAGTGTGACACAATTTCCTTGCGTGAGAGGGATACAGTTGTCTGGTGTGAGTGCGACACAATTACCTTGCGTGATAGAGATACAGTTGTCTGGTGTGAGTGTGACACAATTACCTTGAGTGAGAGGGGTACAGTTGTCTGGTGTGAGTGTGACACAATTACCGTGCGCGAGGGAGAGATACAGTTGTCTGGTGTGAGTGTGACACAATTACCTTGCGTGAGAGGGATACAATTGTCTGGTGTGAGTGTGACAAAATTACCTTGTGTGAGAGTGATACAGTTGTCTGGTGTGAGTGTGACACAATTACCTTGCGTGAGAGTGATACAGTTGTTTGGTGTGAGTGCGACACAATTACCTTGTGTGAGAGTGATACAGTTGTTTGGTGTGAGTGCGACACAGTTACCTTGAGTGTGAAAAGGATACAGTTGTCTGGTGTGAGTGTGACACAATTTCCTTGCGTGAGAGGGATACAGTTGTCTGGTGTGAGTGCGACACAATTACCTTGCGTGATAGAGATACAGTTGTCTGGTGTGAGTGTGACACAATTACCTTGAGTGAGAGGGGTACAGTTGTCTGGTGTGAGTGTGACACAATTACCGTGCGCGAGGGAGAGATACAGTTGTCTGGTGTGAGTGTGACACAATTACCTTGCGTGAGAGGGATACAGTTGTCTGGTGTAAATGTGACACAATTACCTTATGTGAGAGGGATACAGTTCTCTGGTGTGAGTGTGACACAATTACCTTGGATGAGAGAGATACAGTTGTCTGGTGTCAGAGTGATACAGTTGTCATGTTATGGCTGACCTGTCATGTTACTGCTTAATCTGTCATGTTACTCCTCAACATGGCGAGCATCCGGATGTAGTGTAGTAGGCTGGTGGCGGAGTATGTCCGATGGGACAAGAGTGTGAAGTGTGTCATGTTACGGCTCAGGCTGTCATGTTACTGCCCAACCTGTCATGTTACTGCTCAGGCTGTCATGTTACTGCCCAACCTGTCATGTTACGGCTCAGGCTGTCATGTTACTGCTCAAGCTGTCATGTTACGGCTCAGGCTGTCATGTTACTGCTTAACCTGTCATGTTACTGCTGAAGCTGTCATGTTACTGCACAACCTGTCATGTTACGACCTGAGGCTGTCATGTTACGGCTCAGGCTGTCATGTTACTGCCCAACCTGTCATGTTACTGCTGAAGCTGTCATGTTACTGCACAACCTGTCATGTTACTGCCCAACCTGTCATGTTACTGCTCAAGCTGTCATGTTACTGCCCAACCTGTCATGTTACTGCCCAAGCTGTCATGTTACGGCTTAACCTATCATGTTACTGCTCAACCTGTCATGCTACTGCTCGACCTGTCATGTTACTGCCCAACCTGTCATGGTACGGCTCAGGGTGTCATGGTACTGTGCAAGCGGTCATGTTACGGCTCAACCTATCATGTAACCGGTCAAGTTGTCATGTTACGGCTTAACCTGTCATGTTACTGCTCAAGCTGTCATGTTAGTGCTCAAGCTGTCATGTTACGGCTCAAGCTGTCATGTTACTGCTTAACCTATCATGTTACTGCTCAAACTGTCATGTTACTGATTACACAATGCCATTTAGAAAGTGGTCAAATGCAACATGTGTTATATTTGGGATTACACTTTCTTAGTAAAGTACAAATTCTAGTACTTTTTGAGTTGAGTCCCATCCGGGATTCGAACTCACACCCTCAGAGTCAGGCACCCAATCGCCAGCACACAAAGTCAGCCGCCTAACCCACTCAGCTACCGCGACTTCCACAAAAATGGAAGTCGGACAACTGGTAGTCTAGACTGCGGGCTTTGTGTACCCCTCTGATAAGTGTTAATTGGCACGGCTCCCACGGCCGAAAGCTATGATTACACAATGCCATTTAGAAAGTGGTCAAATGCAACATGTGTTATATTTGGGATTACACTTTCTTAGTAAAGTACAAATTCTAGTACTTTTGAGTTGAGTCCCATCCGGGATTCGAACTCACACCCTCAGAGTCAGGCACCCATCGCCAGCACACAAAGTCAGCCGCCTAACCCACTCAGCTACCGCGGACTTCCACAAAATGGAAGTCGGACAACTGGTAGTCTAGACTGCGGGAACTTTGTGTACCCCTCTGATAAGTGTTAATTGGCACGGCTCCCACGGCCGAAAGCTATGATTACAAATGCCATTTAGAAAGTGGTCAAATGCAACATGTGTTATATTTGGGATTACACTTTCTTAGTAAAGTACAAATTCTAGTACTTTTTGAGTTGAGTCCCATCCGATCTTCGAACTCACACCCTCAGAGTCAGGCACTCCATCGCCAGCACACAAAGTCAGCCGCCTAACCCACTCAGCTACCGCTTCCACAAAATGGAAAGTCGGACAACTGGTAGTTCAAGCTACCGCGACTTCCACAAAAATGGAAGTCGGACAACTGGTAGTCTAGACTGCGGGCTTTGTGTACCCTCTGATAAGTGTTAATTGGCACGGCCCCACGGCCGAAAGCTATGATTACACAATGCCATTTAGAAAGTGGTCAAATGCAACATCATGTTATATTTCATTACACTGTCATAGTAAAGTACTGCTCAAACTTTTGTGTTAGTCCTCATCCGGCACTGTCACTACTCAAAGTGTTACTGCTCAAAGTCAGACGCTCAACCTGTCGCTACCGCGACTTCCACAAAATGGAAGTCGGACAACTGCTCTAGACTACACAATGCCATTTAGTGTTCTGCAACATGTGTTATATTTGGGATTACACTTTCTTAGTAAAAGTACAAATTCTAGTACTTTTTGAGTTGAGTCCCATCCGGGATTCGAACTCACACCTCAAGTCAGAAGTCGGACAACTGCTAGTCAAGACTGCGGGCTTTGTGTACCCCTCTGATAAGTGTTGTTCAAAGTGTGACGTACCTGCTCAACCCGTCAACAGGATCAGCTACGGGTCCGCCCTGGGTGCTCATAATGAAGGAAGATACAATAGTTTGGAACTATGAGTCGATCAAACTTTATTTGACATAAAACGTTGGAATGCATATTTAGAAACGTTTATATGATACATACAAAATGACGTAACGTTCATCAACATATATTTACATTTCGTAACCATGAAGAATGTCTAATCCTGCAATCAGCTGTCTCGTGAGCATCCCTTCACTCCTTGTTATCACACATGTAAAGCCACGGAATCAACCACCTACGCATGTCATGAAACATTTCAGTGGTACTGATTCAGAACATACTGACTGTTAGCTAAATGCTAACAGTAATACTGGCTGTGTTATAGATGCGCTGCATTTCCTGTATCCTTGCACAGAGTGCTGAAACATGGCACGATATCATATGGACATTTCCAAAGTCCAAATTGAGGGTGGTTATTTTTGTCTTTTCCTTCAAAACAAAGGCTAATATCCGGGTTCCTGTACCACGGTAAACCCGCGACATCAACATGACTGTTCTTGTGCTACCCGATGTAGTGTAGAAGTAGCTGGTGGCGGAATATGTCCGATGGGCCCAAGAGCGTGATGAGTGACATGTACTCAATAATGGCGGGCAATATGATGACAGGGTTAAATAATAATAATAAATGAAATTATTATATACAATCTTTGTGGAGTGTATGACGATCTGTCTGTCTGTCTGCAGTCTGTCTGTCTGTCTGTCTGTCTGTCTGTCTGTCTGTCTCTCTGTCCACCCACCCACTCACTCACTCATCCATTCATCCATCCGCCAAAGACAGAATCATCAACATACACGTACACGCACGCAGGCAGGCACAGACACGTGCGCGCGTAGACAAACATACACACATGCATTACACACAGTCGACACTTAGTCACGGACATATGTATATTACAATTGTGACAGATAATGTATTATGAACTGTATCTATTATATCTTACGCATGAAGTGATGGTGAAGATATGAAGTTATACATGCTTGGCTAAAGGGCACGTACTACTCCGTATATACATACAGAAAATATTCAACTAGGTTCTGCAATCAAATAGATCTACACAAAATACTGGTGTAGGAACGTGTGAAAACAAATACATACGTATATTGATATGAAGCAACTCGGTGGTTTCCACAGAGGAAACAATAGTAACCTGTCACGAATCATAAGACAATCACAGACAATCACAGACAATCACAGACAATCAACTGATCAGAAACCCACGACCCTGCACGGTGAGATGCTATTAATCCGTACGTCGCTTGTACACTGTCGACGGGATTAATATACTTGGGGATTAGGTTACGGAATAAAATCTCTTAATCGACAATAAAGTATTTCCAGCCGTAATCGCGTGGGTTCGGTTTTACAGGGTCTGGACTAAAGAGTTTTAACTGTATGCGATAGGTTTTGGCTCCAGGTACACGTGCATCCGTGTTCGGATTAATGTAATTGGGAGTTTTGGTACTGATTACTATCTCTTAATATAGGGGCGGTGGGGTAGTCTAGTGATAAAAGCGTTCACTTGTCACGCCGCTTGTGGGTTCGATTTCCCACATATGTACAATGTGCAAAGCCCAGACGTGATATTGCTGGAATATTGCTAAAAGCGGAGTAAAACCTCACTCACTTAATATATAATATCGTCTTTACAGTCGTAATCGTCTGGTAGGCGGGGCTTCCGGAATATGGGTTGAAGGTCCGGACTGAGGGTCTAAACTGTATGTGACAGATCAGAGGCTGTACACCCGTGGCAGGTGTGCCTAGAAGTTCCATGAATATGACATTCACGCTATGTCCAGATTCTAGTGTATGCACGGTGCTTGGCTGTTATGTCTTGCCCTCGTTCTCCAGCACGAAGTAGTCATGTTTAGTCTCTGGTTCCACTGAGTCTAGGGGTAGCTGCTGAACGGCAGGTCCTGTTAATCTCAGATAGTCTGGCGAACAGGTAGTCTGTCTGTCTTCCTCGCTTTGATGGTAGGTGGTGGCCAAGTCGAATCCCGAGTCTGGTGATAAGGGACACTCATAGCCATCCCCTTGTCGACTCTCTGAGGTTAGGGTCGGTCTCTGGAGCTTCTGATAATCATGAACGTCACTGCCCCCCAGAGAGGACGATTTGCTGCAACATTCATCATCTTCTTCATCTCTTCGTCCAGTCGTTGAACTGGTCTGGGTGTTCTCGTCCTCCCACGTTGTATGTCCCCCATCTGTATGTCCTGATGGTTCTGGTGACGTGGGGCTTGTATCGGCACTGGATTCCAGGACAAAATATGGATTGCTGACATTGGGTTGTGTTCCATCAGTCTGCTTGGAACCCTCCTCCAAATCAAGGTAGTCGTTGTGCCCTGACGAAAGCCGTCTCGGAGGCTGAATAGTTGTTCTTGGAGCGGGCACTGGCTTGGATGTTCCAGGTGAACCAAGTTCTTTCTCATCCGTGCGTCGAGCGAGAGCCTCGTAGTAGCCTTGACCTCCGGGCTTGTAGGTGACGCTCTGTAGATTAGAGTGGACGCACACAGAATCGGACACGTCCTCCGTGGAGCGGATGACAGACCTGGGTCCCTGCTGCAGCAGATCCGGCACCTCCTGAAACAATACCGATGTACCATTTGAGATACTTATGGTCAATATGAGCAATATTCCAGAAATATCACGGCGGGTGACACCAGAAATGGGCTTCACACATTGTACCCATGTCGGGAATCGAAACATGTCTTCGGCGTGACGAGCGAACGCTTTAACCACTATGCTACCCCCACCACTGGATTGTCTGGCCCAGACTCAGTAATTTACAGACCGCTGTCATATAGCTGGAATATTGCTGAGTGTGGCGTTGATCAAGCAAACAAATCCCCCCCCCCAAAAAAACAAAACAAAAACAAAACAAAACAAACCAAAACAAACCAAAACAAACCCCCAAAACAAAAACAACAACAATAACCCCCCCAAAACCCCCAAAACACAAACAACAACAACCCCACAACAACAACAAACAAACAAACACAACAACAAAACAACAAAAAACCCCAAACAAACAAAAAACACAAAACAAACAAACCAAAAACAAATAAAAAACCCAACAAAACAAATCCAACCCCAAACAAACAACTATCTATTCAGTGTGAGTAGTTCGTCCTCTATTTGCTGACGTAGCATCTTAGGCTGATGTTCATTTTGAGAGGAAGCATGCAGTGACTGAATGCTCACCGTATCGGGCAGTTCTTCATATATGGTGTTGTCTTGGGGTCTGTGTTCATAAGTGTTCTGCGGAACACGTGGACCTGTCCTTTTCACTATCGACGTAGTAGGAACACTGGAAGAAAAGTGAGCATCATCACTGAGCGTATATGGTGAAAGAATCACACAGTGATACATATATTCACATATGTATACAAGACGTATTACTCAATGAATCATCGACTTTCATGATCACACAGTCGCTTATTTCAAAAGGTTCACATGGTTCACCAGCACCTTACAGCAAAATCCCGAACCTCCCCAAGATCAACATCACTACACGGGCTTCAAACAATGAAATCCTGTGATGCTGGAAATCGACCCTTTTTTCGGCGTGACGAGTGAACGCTTCCACCACTGAGCTATACCGCCGTGCCCGTATGATGGAACTGAATGATACCATCTGGAGTGAGTGAGTGAGTTTAGTTTTTCCCCGCTTGTAGCATTATTTCAGCAATATCACTGCGGGGGACACCAGAAATGGGGATCACACATGGTACCCATGTGGGGAATACAACGAACCCGGGCCTTTGGAGTTACGAGTGAACGCTTTAACCATGAAGCTATTCAGGCACCCCTGCATGAAGGAAGTGAAGGACATATCTGGAGGGAGATTAGGTAGATACTCTATTTATTAAAGGGGTACATTTATCTGTACCTTCTCTTTTTCCTCTGTCTCCAGCAGAAGACGCAACAGACAGTGCCGAGAATGCCTAGCAGTAGACCCAGCACCACAGTCATGGAGAGAAACACCAGTTTGAGTTTTAACGACATCGCGGTGGACACGTTTGGGCTGAGGGTGGTGGTCAAACCGTGTCTGTAGATTGTCCGGCCGGACCTGTCGCCTGACGCAGAGGAGGGACAATGTTGACATGCTGAATCCTCGAAATGTTCATTTTCACAACCATACTTAACACATGACAACTCTTGGATAGCATTATTTGCATGGAAAAGGACAACAGATCCGAGATATCACATACAATTTGGATGCGGATATTGGAGGATGCTCTATTATCACGTTTCCTCTAAAGTACTCACATTCAATACTCTCTAAAGCGCTTGATAAACACACCAATATTGACAGGAACCTGAAATTAAAAGTTTGGGGCAGTGTCAGTTAATGATGCTGTTTAGCTGACTTGTTGGTGTAGGTGACTACATGACGTCACCTTCAACGCCCATGCCAACATCATATTCCATGGGGAGAGAGAGAGAGAGAGAGAGAGAGAGAGAGAGAGAGAGAGAGAGAGAGAGAGAGAGAGAGAGAGAGAGAGAGAGAGAGAGAGAGAGAGAGAGAGAGAAATATTATGTTGTCTTATTGCATTTATATTTCAGATCGAACCGGCTTTGACAATTAAGTGGGTCATTTTTATTGAGTGGGTTTGAATAAAGTTATTGGCCATACATACGTTGTGTCTTTATCCTCCAAAAAGCCTTGTTTGGGATGACATCTGATGGTGAAATCATTTCTCAAGTGACAGTGAAACTCTGCAGTGAAACATAGTCATTGAAACATTGCCCATTCCGTGGTAGGTTTAGCAGTGGTTATTGTATTAAATATCAAATAAAAATAAATGTGCGGTTGTCAGCGTCTAAGAACTAGCAATTCACGTGCGTCCCTAGTGATCATGGGTTCGAATCCCAGTATCGCCTAAGTGAGTATTGTTTTATGCCGTTGCCCAGCCATATCCAGGCAGGGACTTCACACGTTGTACACGTGGTGAGATTCGAGCGTATTAAGCGCTTTTCCCCAGCCGTCCCTGAATGTTTGAATGTGTAACGTGAGACTACCGGGGCGCACCTTCCGATCTGTAAGTGAGTCTGGCCTTCTCCGACGTGTTCTTGTTTTTCAGACAACCCTCTAGGACAGTCGCATTGTAGTCTGTCTCCAGCATGTTGAAGTCGCAGTGGTCGTGGCGATCATGAGGAGGCGTGCGACAGATGCAGTTATGAAATCTGAAATAGGATTGGAATGTTTCTTTGTACAATATTACAAATTGTATTTGAAATAAAGAGTTGAGTTGAGTTGAAGTTTTACGTCGAGTCGGCATTGTTTCAGCCCAAAACGACGAGATCAAGTCTGCACTTATGCACATTTTATAAAGTTTAAACCACTTTCTTAAAATACATGCTTCTTCAATACCCACAATGTGAAATATAGAGATATTACCTTAGATTGTTTATTGTGAGTATTCTTCAGGTGGACCATCGAGAATATGACTACAGACTATATTTTTTGTATAAAATAAATTGGATTTAAAGTATCATATAAATACTGAAAATCCCGTTGTCTGTGAGTTACTTAACTATTTCGGGTGGAAATGGTTCCAAACATACACATATTAAATATGTTTCTAATACGATGCAGTTCACACAGACTCTACACTAATGTATTTTAATGCAACATGTTAGGTGGAAACCTACTTTTTTAATTTCGTTCTTGAGCTGTTGCGACCGTCGTTGTCGTTGTGCCTTTGTTTTAACGATAACGTTTCCATTCCCGTCGCCGTAAACACACCGTGAAGGCGTTCTGCGAATCGAATACATGTTGGATGAATAAATTCTGTGAGGAACAATACAGGCGAATGTCTCGGAGCTCAGTTGCAGTAGCGTTTGTGAGCGAGTGCGTTTGCTTTTGCGCCGCTTTTAAGAAATATTCCAGCAATATCACGGTGGCGGACACCAGAAATGGGCTTAACACATTGTACTCATGTGCGAATTCAACCAGGGTCTTCGGTGTGACGAGCGAACGCTTTAACCACTAGTTAACCCCACCACCAGTAGCGTTGTGAGTTCTACAGTCGCATACACTTTGGTCAACGTGTGCGTGGGCATCACCTGTTGGTCAGCCTGATGTGAAATGCCATTGTACTAATGTTGCTGTCACATGCAACATGACGGTGTTGTAAATGTACATCTCAATTAAAGATACATTCAGATGATTCGTGCCCTTATTCCCCTCCATAATGTTGTGGATTATGCTACCGATATGAGAGGAGTAAAACAATGTCACGAATACTGCCTTCACATGTTTCAAATAAAACTCCAGTGATTTCTTTGACGCAATAATCATTGCTAACGACATAGATGTAGCTTATGTTTTTTGAATTTTTTCTGACGATGAACCTCTGTAATGTTTCTTAGTACCCGTCACAATAAGTCTTCAGCAGCCCTTGCTGAGAGTCGACTAATGGGATCTGGTATTCTCTATTTTATATTTCCAGTTTTAATAATAGATGTGTTAATAGTGAGTGACCGAGTTTAGTTTTACGCTCCACTCAGCAATATTCCAGCTTTATGGCGGTGGTCTGTAAATAATCGAGTCTGAACCAACAATTCAGATGGTCAACAGCATGAGCATCGTTCTACGCAGTTGGGATACGATGACATGTGTCAACCAAGTCAGCGAGCCTGACCACCCGATCCTGTTAGTCGCCTTTTAGTCTTACGACAAGCATGGGTTACTGAAGATCAATTCTAACCCGGATCTTCGCGGGTAGATGTGTTTATAAACAATATACACTGTACGATATGAAATGATGTGAACGTGATGTAGTTTCGTGACAAGTGACACTTGGTGTGTATGATCGCCAGAATAACATTTCACACAGGGTCGGAAATACGGAAGGAAGATGATGTACAACCTAATGGCACAACAATGGAACCCTTCTTGATTGCAGTGATACAGCACAATTGTACTCTGACAGTCGTGAGAAAGTATATCTAAATTTAGTATATTCTAAAACACAGTGTAGCCAGTGAATACATACCATACTGTAGTCTGTGAATCATATATATCATTGTGTAGTCAATGAACCATGTATATCATAGTGTAGTCTGTAAATAACATATATCATAGTGTAGTCTGTAAATCATATATATACTACCGTCCAAAAGAAAGTATACCAAGAGAAGAGAGACATAAGAGAGAAAGGAAACAGAGTGAAAGAGAAAGAAAGAAAGAGAGAGATAGTGGGTGAGAGAGACATCAAATCATGTCTACTCTGGAGAGAGAGAGAGGTGTTACGATGTATTTATGTCTATCAACGATATATATGCGGAGAGAAAGTGTGAGTGTAGGTCAACTTAGTTTCGACTGAAAGTAATGTGTCTCTGCATCATGGGGTTCTTCTTTATGTGTGTTCACAGCTATATCACTCGTTGTGTTGTTAACTAACACACAATGTTCATACACGTGCATTTGAGAAATGTCGAGATGAAGGAGAAAATGCGTGTATTTACATGGTTGGGAGGTTAGTGGTCAGTGGCCTGGGTGTCACCTCCTGCTTGAGCCCCGCTGAGGTGAACACGCCCCGCAGACATGTTGTCAGGTCCTTCACAGGCCTCATGGTCAGGTCACCAGTCGGACCTCTATACGGTTTCTCGTCATACATCTTCTCAGCCCTTGGGAAAAAATTATCATCATCATCATCATCATCATCATCATCATCATCGGATAGTATAAAACGTATTCACATTAGTCGGATTGACTAGTTTGTCAGATAGCAACGATAAATGAAAAGTTGTGAAAAAGTCTTACGTTTTGGCTATGTCTGCGCCCACTGGCATTGCGCCGGATGTTTCAGAGAGAAGCATGGCGAGGCAGATACCTAGAGAAAAACGTGGTAAACAAAATATCGTATCATTATCACTGAAGACACTGACTATATATCTTAATATGATGACGTCAATGGGCCTTACAGTGTAGTCAGATGGTATCTTCCCATTTTGACTACTCCCGGTGTGATTTCTCCAATTTTGTCTGCCCATGAACATAAACATAAAATGGAGCACCCCTACACTTAATAATGTACTGTACCTGTATAGGTGATTACTCCCAGTTTGTCTGCTCATGAACATAAACATATAATGGAGCACCCCTACAATTAATAATGTACTGTACCTGTATAGGTGATTACTCCCAGTTTGTCTGCTCATGAACATAAACATATAATGGAGCACCCCTATACTTAATAATGTACTGTACCTGTATAGGTGATTACTCCCAGTTTGTCTGCTCATGAACATAAACATATAATGGAGCACCCCTACACTTAATAATGTACTGTACCTGTATAGGTGATTACTCCCAGTTTGTCTGCTCATGAACATAAACATATAATGGAGCACCCCTACAATTAATAATGTACTGTACCTGTATAGGTGATTACTCCCAGTTTGTCTACTCATGAACATAAACATATAATGGAGCACCTCTACACTTAATAATGTACTGTACCTGTATAGGTGATTACTCCCAGTTTGTCTACTCATGAACATAAACATATAATGGAGCACCCCTACACTTAATAATGTACTGTACCTGTATAGGTGATTACTCCCAGTTTGTCTGCTCATGAACATAAACATATAATGGAGCACCCCTACACTTAATAATGTACTGTACCTGTATAGGTGATTACTCCCAGTTTGTCTACTCATGAACATAAACATATAATGGAGCACCCCTACAATTAATAATGTACTGTACCTGTATAGGTGATTACTCCCAGTTTGTCTGCTCATGAACATAAACATATAATGGAGCACCCCTACACTTAATAATGTACTGTACCTGTATAGGTGATTACTCCCAGTTTGTCTGCTCATGAACATAAACATATAATGGAGCACCCTACACACTTAATAATGTACTGTACCTGTATAGGTGATTACTCCCACTTTGTCTACTCATGAACATAAACATATAATGGAGCACCCCTACACTTAATAATGTACTGTACCTGTATAGGTGATTACTCCCAGTTTGTCTACTCATGAACATAAACATATAATGGAGCACCCCTACACTTAATAATGTACTGTACCTGTATAGGTGATTACTCCCAGTTTGTCTGCTCATGAACATAAACATATAATGGAGCACCCCTACACTTAATAATGTACTGTACCTGTATAGGTGATTACTCCCAGTTTGTCTACTCATGAACATAAACATATAATGGAGCACCCCTACACTTAATAATGTACTGTACCTGTATAGGTGATTACTCCCAGTTTGTCTACTCATGAACATAAACATATAATGGAGCACCCCTACACTTAATAATGTACTGTACCTGTATAGGTGATTACTCCCAGTTTGTCTGCTCATGAACATAAACATATAATGGAGCACCCCTACACTTAATAATGTACTGTACCTGTATAGGTGATTACTCCCAGTTTGTCTACTCATGAACATAAACATATAATGGAGCACCCCTACACTTAATAATGTACTGTACCTGTATAGGTGATTACTCCCAGTTTGTCTACTCATGAACATAAACATATAATGGAGCACCCCTACACTTAATAATGTACTGTACCTGTATAGGTGATTACTCCCAGTTTGTCTGCTCATGAACATAAACATATAATGGAGCACCCCTACACTTAATAATGTACTGTACCTGTATAGGTGATTACTCCCAGTTTGTCTACTCATGAACATAAACATATAATGGAGCACCCCTACACTTAATAATGTACTGTACCTGTATAGGTGATTACTCCCAGTTTGTCTGCTCATGAACATAAACATATAATGGAGCAACCCCTACACTTAATAATGTACTGTACCTGTATAGGTGATTACTCCCACTTTGTCTACTCATGAACATAAACATATAATGGAGCACCCCTACAATTAATAATGTACTGTACCTGTATAGGTGATTACTCCCAGTTTGTCTACTCATGAACATAAACATATAATGGAGCACCCCTACAATTAATAATGTACTGTACCTGTATAGGTGATTACTCCCAGTTTGTCTGCTCATGAACATAAACATATAATGGAGCACCCCTACACTTAATAATGTACTGTACCTGTATAGGTGATTACTCCCACTTTGTCTACTCATGAACATAAACATATAATGGAGCACCCCTACACTTAATAATGTACTGTACCTGTATAGGTGATTACTCCCAGTTTGTCTACTCATGAACATAAACATATAATGGAGCACCCTACACTTAATAATGTACTGTACCTGTATAGGTGATTACTCCCAGTTTGTCTGCTCATGAACATAAACATATAATGGAGCACCCCTACAATTAATAATGTACTGTACCTGTATAGGTGATTACTCCCAGTTTGTCTACTCATGAACATAAACATATAATGGAGCACCCCTACAATTAATAATGTACTGTACCTGTATAGGTGATTACTCCCAGTTTGTCTACTCATGAACATAAACATATAATGGAGCACCCCTACAATAATAATGTGTACTGTACCTGTATAGGTGATTACTCCCAGTTTGTCTACTCATGAACATAAACATATAATGGAGCACCCCTACAATTAATAATGTACTGTACCTGTATAGGTGATTACTCCCAGTTTGTCTGCTCATGAACATAAACATATAATGGAGCACCCCTACACTTAATAATGTACTGTACCTGTATAGGTGATTACTCCCAGTTTGTCTACTCATGAACATAAACATATAATGGAGCACCCCTACACTTAATAATGTACTGTACCTGTATAGGTGATTACTCCCAGTTTGTCTACTCATGAACATAAACATATAATGGAGCACCCCTACACTTAATAATGTACTGTACCTGTATAGGTGATTACTCCCAGTTTGTCTACTCATGAACATAAACATATAATGGAGCACCCCTACACTTAATAATGTACTGTACCTGTATAGGTGATTACTCCCAGTTTGTCTACTCATGAACATAAACACATAATGGAGCACCCTACACTTACTAATGTACTGTACCTGTATAGTTGATTACTCCCAGTTTGTCTACTCATGAACATAAACATATAATGGACAACCCTACACTGAATGTACTGTACCTGTATAGTTGATTACTCCCAGTTTGTCTACTCGGCATATAATGGATCACACCAGAAATGGGAATGTGCTGTACCTGTACAGTTGATTACTCCCAGTGTGTCTAATCGAACATAAACATATAATGGAGCACCCAAATAATGTAACCACCTGTATAGTTGATTACTCCCAGTTTGTCTACTCATGAACATGGAGCATATAATGGAGCACCCTACACTAATAATGTACTGTACCTGTATAGGTGATTACTCCCAGTTTGTCTGCTCATGAACATAAACATATAATGGAGCACCCCTACACTTAATAATGTACTGTATCTGTATAGGTGATTACTCCCAGTTTGTCTACTCATGAACATAAACATATAATGGAGCACCCCTACAATTAATAATGTACTGTACCTGTATAGGTGATTACTCCCAGTTTGTCTACTCATGAACATAAACATATAATGGAGCACCCCTACAATTAATAATGTACTGTATCTGTATAGGTGATTACTCCCAGTTTGTCTACTCATGAACATAAACATATAATGGAGTACCCCTACAATTAATAATGTACTGTATCCGTATAGGTGATTACTCCCACTTTGTCTACTCATGAACATAAACATATAATGGAGCACCCCTACAATTAATAATGTACTGTACCTGTATAGGTGATTACTCCCAGTTTGTCTACTCATGAACATAAACATATAATGGAGCACCCCTACAATTAATAATGTACTGTACCTGTATAGGTGATTACTCCCAGTTTGTCTACTCATGAACATAAACATATAATGGAGCACCCCTACAATTAATAATGTACTGTACCTGTATAGGTGATTACTCCCAGTTTGTCTGCTCATGAACATAAACATATAATGGAGCACCCTACACTTAATAATAATGTACTGTACCTGTATAGGTGATTACTCCCAGTTTGTCTACTCATGAACATAAACATATAATGGAGCACCCTACAATTAATAATGTACTGTACCTGTATAGGTGATTACTCCCAGTTTGTCTACTCATGAACATAAACATATAATGGAGCACCTACACTACAATTAATAATGTACCTGTATAGGTGATTACTCCCAGTTTGTCTACTCATGAACATAAACATATAATGGAGCACCCCTACACTTAATAATGTACTGTACCTGTATAGGTGATTACTCCCAGTTTGTCTACTCATGAACATAAACATATAATGGAGTACCCCTACAATTAATAATGTACTGTACCTGTATAGGTGATTACTCCCAGTTTGTCTACTCATGAACATAAACATATAATGGAGCACCCCTACAATTAATAATGTACTGTACCTGTATAGGTGATTACTCCCAGTTTGTCTACTCATGAACATAAACATATAATGGAGCACCCAATTAATAATGTACTGTATCTGTACCCAGTTTGTCTACTCTATAATGGATACAATTAATAATGTACTGTACCTGTATAGGTGATTACTCCCAGTTTGTCTACTCATGAACATAAACATATAATGGAGCACCCCTACACTTAATAATGTACTGTACCTGTATAGGTGATTACTCCCAGTTTGTCTACTCATGAACATAAACATATAATGGAGCACCCCTACAATTAATAATGTACTGTACCTGTATAGGTGATTACTCCCAGTTTGTCTACTCATGAACATAAACATATAATGGAGCACCCCTACAATTAATAATGTACTGTATCTGTATAGGTGATTACTCCCAGTTTGTCTACTCATGAACATAAACATATAATGGAGCACCCCTACAATTAATAATGTACTGTACCTGTATAGGTGATTACTCCCAGTTTGTCTACTCATGAACATAAACATATAATGGAGCACCCCTACAATTAATAATGTACTGTACCTGTATAGGTGATTACTCCCAGTTTGTCTACTCATGAACATAAACATATAATGGAGCACCCCTACACTTAATAATGTACTGTACCTGTATAGGTGATTACTCCCAGTTTGTCTCCTCATGAACATAAACATATAATGGAGCACCTCTACACTTAATAACGTACTGTACCTGTATAGGTGATTACTCCCAGTTTGTCTACTCATGAACATAAACATATAATGGAGTACCCCTACACTTAATAATGTACTGTACCTGTATAGGTGATTACTCCCAGTTTGTCTCCTCATGAACATAAACATATAATGGACTGACTGACTGACTGAGTTTAGTTTTACGCCGCCTTTAGCAATATTCCAGCAATATCACGGCGGGGGACACCAGAAATGGGCTTACCACATTGTGCCCATGTGGGGAATCGAACCTGGGTCTTCGGCGTGACGAGCCAACGCTTTAACCACTAAGCTACCCTACCGCCCCACATATAATGGAGCACCCTACACTTAATAATGTACTTTACCTGTATAGGTGATTACTCCCAGTTTGTCTGCTCATGAACATAAACATATAATGGAGCACCCCTACACTTAATAATGTACTGTACCTGTATAGGTGATTACTCCCAGTTTGTCTACTCATGAACATAAACATATAATGGAGCACCCCTACACTTAATAATGTACTGTACCTGTATAGGTGATTACTCCCAGTTTGTCTACTCATGAACATAAACATATAATGGAGCACCCCTACACTTAATAATGTACTGTACCTGTATAGGTGATTACTCCCAGATTGTCTACTCTTTGAAATATACTTATCAGGGAGACCCTCAGGGACTACCCGTATTTGAATCATTAGAAGCTAAGTGAATTCACTGGGTTCTTTTACATTTGGAGATACCCCCTCTACTATGATTAAAACTTAGTATACTTATAGTGGAGGTAAATTATAAAGTATATTTTGGCTTAAAACGGTTATCAAAAGTAAATTAAAAATATTTATATGCAAAACATGGATGTCAACAATTTAAACCTCTTTCAAAGCAATCCCTCTCTCAATTTTGATCAATGCCTAAATTGTCTGCATTACAATAGCTTGTTGAAATTTCGAAATTCCAACTATTTTCTCCCAATCAAGACAGATAGAAGGCAACGAATCCCTATAAATGATAGAAAGTGTACTATGTGTAACTTCAATGATATTGGCGACGAATTTCATTATTTGTTTATCTGTCCCAAATTAGAATTAGAAAGAGAAGAATATATTCATAAGAATTATTATATTGACCAAATATGTCAAAATGAACAATGCCATCTTATTTAACACTAATAAGCTAGGAACTTTAAACAAACTTTCAAAATTTTTTGTAAAAAAGGAATGGCTTTAATTAAGAAATAACCTCAATACCTTGATATTCAACTTGGTCGATGTACATTGCTTCTATCATACCATTTGTATATAATTTTTATGTTGTATGTTGTATACATACATGTATACATGTTGTACATGTAAATATTGTTTATGTACCTCTTATGCTGCAGTTTGAAGCCTGAGTGAAATAAAGTTCCGTTCTACTAAGCTTTTCAGTTATAGGGATACAAAGTTTAAATGTTTTAACTGTCACATTTATCAACAAGTATATACGACCCAGTCCCAGAGATTTTGCGTTATGGCTGGTGTTCAGCGAGCAGAGTTTGTTGTACCTCAGAGAGGAACCTGACAGGTGCTGCATGCAGGATTCCACAACAATGACCTGACGTAACAGGACATGCTATTGTCATGAATACCTCTTGTTGTGATCATATTCATGTGTTTTAGTAGTTGAAGTATACATCCCTGTCTCTGTCTGCAATATCTTACAGTGTAGTCAGTGAAGCCTATATCTCAGTATATTCAGTGGACCACATATCGCACACTATAATCAGTGGACCATATACTACAGTGTAGTCAGTGAAGCCTATATCTCAGTATATTCAGTGGACCATATATCGCACACTGTAATGAGTGGACCATATATTACAGTGTAGTCAGTGTAGTCTATATCTCAGTATATTCAGTGGACCATATATCGCACATTGTAATCAGTGGACCATATATTACAGTGTAGTCATTGAAGACTATATCTCAGTATATTCAGTGGACCACATATCGCACACTATAATCAGTGGACCATACATTACAGTGTAGTCAGTGAAGCCTATATCTCATACCGCCAGACTGACAAGATACTACCTGAACAACATGAACGCCCACTTCCTACCATTGCCAGCTTGTTCACCAGACATGAACCCTATTGAGCATTTGTGGGACCACCTCGACAGGCAGATTAGAAACAGACTAGTACCCCAAGTCAATGTGCGACAGCTGGAACAGTGCCTGAATGACGCCTGGCAACAGATTCCATTAGACGCTTGACGTCATCCATGCGCCGACGTATTCTTGCTTGTGTCGATGCTCAAGGAGGACATACTCGCTCCTGAGGCAGTACATAGCTCTAACTTGTGTACCTGGCATTTTGAAAAACTTTCTGTTTGTTCAGTTTTATTGGTTTGATCCATTTTTGGAACACACACACACACACACACACACACACACACACACACACACACACACACACACACACACACACACACACACACACACACACACACACACACACACACACACACACACACACACACACACACACACACACACACACACACATGTTTGTTTCCTTTTCATTTCTTTATCATTGTTATTTCTGAATTGTTCAAATCATGCAGAAATGAATACTCTAATGAAATACATTTGAACTCTAATGGACACGTTTGTAAATCATATATATCACAGTGTAGGCAATGAACCACGTATATCATAGTGTAGTCTGCGAATCATATATCTCATAGTGTAGTCAGTGAAGCCTATATCTCATCGTATATTCAGTGGACCATATATCGCACACTTTAATCAGTGGACCATCTACTACAGTGTAGTCAGAGAAGCCTATATCTCAGTATATTCAGTGGACCATATATCGCAGACTGTAATCAGTGGACCATATATTAAAGTGTAGTCAGTGAAGCCTATATCTCAGTATATTCAGTGGACCATATATCGCACACTGTAATCTATAGTAATCTGTAGTATATGGTCCACTGATTACAGTGTGCGATATATGGTCCACTGAATATACTGAGATATAGGCTTCACTGACTACACGATGAGATAGATGATTCACAGACTATACTATGATATACATGGTTCATTGACTACACTATGAGATATATGATTCGCAGACTACACTATGATATACGTGGTTCATTGCCTACACTGTGATATATATGATTTACAAACATAGCTCTATATATCATAGTGTATTCGGTAAATCATAGTGCAGTCTGTGTGATTCATATATCCCATAGTTTAGTCGGTGTATCATGTGTCTCAAAGAGTAATCTGTGAATAACATATCTCATGGGGTAATCAGTGAATCATACATCTCATAGTGTAATGAATGAATCATATGTCTCATGGTGTAACCTGTGAATCATATATCTCAAGGCGTAATCAGTGAATGATATGTCTCATTGTGTAATCTGTGAATCATATATCACATAGTGTTATCAGTGAATCATATATCACACGGAGTAATCAGTGAATCATATGTCTCATAGTGTAATCAGTGAATCATATGTCTAATGGTTTAATCTGTGAATCATATATCACATAGTGTTATCAGTGAATCATATATCATATAGAGTAATTAGTGAATCATATGTCTTATGGTATAATCAGTGATTCATATGTCTCATGGTGTAATCGGTGAATCATATATCACATAGTGTAATCAGTGAATCATCTATCACATAGTGTAATTGGTGAATCATATGTCTCATGGTGTAATCTGTGAATCATATATCACATAGTGTAATCAGTGAATCATATGTCTCATGGTGTAATCTGTGAATCATATATCACATAGTGTTATCAGTGAATCATATATCAGATAGAGTAATCAGTGAATCATATGTCTCATAGTGAAATCACTGAATATGTCTCATGGTTTAATCAGTGAATCATATATCACATAGCGTAATCTGTGAATCATATGTCTCATGGTGTAATCTGTGAATCATATATCTCATAGTGTAATCGGTGAATCATCATATACCACATAGTGTAATCTGTGAATCATATACCAGACAGTGTAATCTGTGAATCACATGTCTCATGGTGTAATCTGTGAATCATATATCACATAGTGTAATCTGTGAATCATGTGTGTCATGGTGTAGTCTGTGAATACGATATAAGAGTGTAATCAGTGTATCATATGTCTCATGGTGTCATCAGTGAATCCTATATCTCATGGTGTAATCTATGAATCATATATCTCATTGTTTAGTCAGTCTATCATATATCTCATGGTGTAATCTGTAACTCACATATCTCATAGATTGCCTTTTTGGAGATGTTGTCGTGTTCCAGATTGCTGTGTACATATTAACAGCCTCGTTTATGACGTCAGAATGTCTTGCATGATCGTATAGGTTATCTCCCAACTGACAGACACCCATTTGACAGAAAGTCGATTGACAGACACTGAACTAGAAGGTTAACTAGGGTAACACCTACAGATATAATGGAACAGTCCACTGTCTAGTGAGTAGAGTAGGGTGAGCCTGGAACATGTTCTTTACTGAGAAGTTTGATTGTGTGTAAATTGAACTTTGTTGTGATTCTTCTCTTCTCAAAAGTGTTGTCACTGAGATGTTTGATTACATTTATTGATTGAAACATAATGTGTTCATTCAAGAAAATGATTGGGCACAAGTTATCCAACTTAGAAAAGCCCTCTCCCAATAATAGGATATGTACTGAGAAAACGTTTTGTTTGAGAGATATAGATATTTAGATATTTTAAAATATTCTGATTTTCAGTAATTGAGAGACCTGCATTGCCATGTAAGATACGATTAATACCAATCAGTGTTCTAAGTTTAACAATACTTTCTGAAGATTGTAACAGTTTATCTCTTTGAATAGTATACAATGGACATTCAAGGAAGTAATGAAAAACATTCTCACATCCGTGGCCACATTGACATGATGCGTCATATTTTAAATATTTATTCTAAATAAATCATAATTAAGTGTACTCTCAATATATGCTAATCTTCTGTGCAAAACATTTAGCATCCTTATGCACATTTTTCTTTCACGTGGATATAAGATTTAAATTATGAAACAGAGTCGCAATTTCTAACAGCTAAGGGAATAATATTCCATATTTTACTGCTGATAGAATGAAAAAAGATGTTGAATACCCCAGTAGCTTGTCCAGTTGCCTACTACAGGTCGGAGTAAATCCTGAAGAAAAAATGGTGTTGTTCTATTTAGTAGGAACATCATGCATTTTAGATGTCTTTTTGACAATATTTTCATATGATGGTGCCAACTCCCCGTTAGATGAGAAGGTTAAACCCAAATGTTAATGAAAAAAACCCTGTCTTTATATTGCAGCAATCAAAACTCAAATTAATGTCTTTTCGGCCATCTTTCAAAGTAAATGATATAGCTCCAGTTTTTTTGTTTTGTTTTTTACTATTCCATTATAATGTGTAGGTAACAAGTAGTAGCTAATCTGTTCATTGAACCGTAAATGTTGTTGTTTTAAGGCGTCTGCGAACTGCCTGTCTGCCTTATGGGAGGACACCATCGTATATCTAGGAACATGTAAATGCAGAACATCTTCCGTGTATCATTTTCTCTTAATCACCAAGGCACAATAAGACTGTTTCTGATTCCGGATACCTAGGTAATGATGTACCGGGTATGGTTATTGCGTACAGTGATTCTGAAACCGCTTATGACTTGAACCGTGCCACTGATCCCGCCCTTAAGAGGCATTTGTCATGGTTACGGAGGTTATCGTGTTCATGCATCTATGTCGTGTATAATGAACGTCTTCCATGTAACAAGACTACGTTCCCAATGTTTCGGCCATGTTGCGAAATTACAAGCAACAGACTTTGAGGTAAACTGTGTTACTCCTAACATTCCAACATATCATGAGAGGATGTCCCAACACTCTCACGTTCTAATATCGTGTATCCGGACCTGACGACAGTGTGTACCAACCTCATTGTTGAAGCAAGTAGCTAGACTGGCATTTAGTCCCAGATATACAGCCATCATTTCTAAAACTATATATCAAAATATATCCAGAAGGAACGCAGCTAAAAAACGCGTTCAATCATTGCAGATTTGGGTTAGACTCCTATTATATGATTCTCTATGGTGTTGGAGAAAACCTAGCCAGTAGCACATTTCGGGAAGAATTGTTTGCTTCTGAGGGAATCATATCTTATAATCATAGTACTTAGTACAGATTAGAGGGCTCATGTTCGGGAGTATCAAAACTCATCTACAGTAATGAAAATATGACTTACTCTGTCTTGTGGGATTACATACACCTTTCACAGATTAGTCTCTTGAATGAGTGAGTGAGTGAGTGAGTGAGCGAGGGTTACACGGGCGGGGGGCACGAGAAGTGGCTTCACACGTTCACATGTGGGGAATCGAACCCGTGTTGTAGGCATGATGAGCAAATGCTTAAACTACTGTGCTATCCCAACGTCCTGATATATCTCTGCAGAAGAATTTAACTAATGGATATTTCGTATGAGAAACTGCGTTGAGTAAAACTATTCTCCCAATGTTTGTCGACTTAGATTAATCACAATGGATCGTGTTTCGATCTAATGTGTAAGTCTACTGTGTCGGCTTTTTGTGATGGTTTGACATAGTTGTCTGTTGTGTTCAGGTGGCGTGGAGGTCTAGTATGCCGGTTTGATATTGTTGTCTGTTGTGTTCAGGTGGCGTGGAGGTCTAGTATGCCGGTTTGATATTTAGGTCTGTTCTGTACAGGAACATGTTAAATAAGGCTTTCATATACAATCCCAATGAAGCAGAAACTCGCAAACACAAACAGTCAAAGTTCCTCATCAGATAAAAGTATAGCGAAAACAATTAATCAATTTAACTCCACAAGAGTCAATGAAATGGGTTTGTTCTGTATCTCGACGTATATAACGGTGGAAGTTAGTTTAGAGGAACTCCGAAGTCATGCAGATTTGGGATATCTATTACGCTCCGTGGGTATGGTTCCGACTAACTTTCAGTTGACGTTTGCATCAAGTTTCTATTGAATGTAACAATCAATTTACGATGCTATGAAAAGACATGATGAACAGTTTAAGATAGTTATTGCCGTCAATATATATTGATGTAACACACACACACACACACACACACACACACACACACACACACACACACACACACACACACACACACACACACACACACACACACACACACACACACACACACACACACACACACACACACACACACACACGAGCCTACTAGTGCAATATTTAACTACTAGGTAACGAGCTTACCCTGGATAATCCCAAGTAATCCCATGTCAGGTCTGGTAGTGATACTTTGTGGTGATAAATGCTGTTGATGTAGATGACGTCAAGGGAAGGAAGTACAAGCTCGGCTGATGACAAATCGGAACACACGGGCTTGTGAGCACATCTGTCAGTTGGTCCCATACACGAGGCTGTCAATACACGGGTTTGTGGGGACAACTACTCAACAGGAAGATGTCCGTACCCGTGCTTGCCACAGACAGATGTAGGATTCACACCTACTGCATGATTATAATGACATCATGGTTGCATGCACGTGTATTTAATTTCCGTATGTAAAACTGTATGTAAAACGGAAGTCAAGTATTATAATTTATTCACCATACTCATAAACGTATCGGTTTCGTTGACGAACATAAACTGAGTTTGTTTAAACTCAACATTTTTGTTTCCGTGTGTATTTTGCTTTCATACTGACTGGTGGTAGTTTCTATAAGGATTGGGCTCTGCCGGAGAATATTCATGCCTCAGACAGCTGTCACGTATCAACCTCTTAAAATCTAGGCCCAATAGTTTCGTTTCGCGTAGTTATGTCCCTTTGTCGCGACAGAATCATGACGTCATATTCGTCTTTGTTTGTTTCAGCGCCATATGTACTCGTACATTTCCTAGAGGCTGGAATCTTTGAGATCTGTATCAAGCTGACACGCCCTGACAAACTGAAATACAGTGCAAAGCTGCTTTAAACCACACTCACTCACTCGCTACAATCGTACATAGCCACATTTTGAGTGAGTGAGTGAGTGAGTGAGTGAGTTGGGTTTTACTACACTTTTAGCAATATTCCATCAATATCACGGCGGGGGACACCGGGAATGGGCTTAACACATTGGGCCCATGTGGGGAATCGAATCCGGACCTTCGGCGTGACGAGCGAACGCTTTTACCACTAGGCTATACCAACGCCCGCCACATTTCACCATATAGTATGAAAGCTTGTGCCTCACTACAAGCGTGTTTTACAAAAACATGTATTCCTCTACAGTGCCAAGATCCGCTGGATTAAATCACATCAACTATAATAATAATATTATAATAAGGGACCGTTCATAATTTATGGCTAGGGTGTGTGATGATGATGTTAAGGGGGGATCACCCATTTTGTTCTGGGGAGGTAGGGGGGTCATCAATTTTGTACACGTGTACTAGGGGGGTCATCAATTTTGGACATAAAACTATGTAAAAATTAGGCTTACAAAATATGGGAAGGGGAGGGGGTAATTGAATTTGTACATGACATCCAGAGGGGAGTCACTTACTTTGTGCATAAATTTTAGGGGGGGGGGTCAGTCACATTGTACATGCTTCTCCATAAAAATCATCATCAACCCCCCCTAGCCATAAATTATGAACGGTCCCTAATTAGTCATGATTATGAACCTTCGTTCATATGAAAGTATTTACTTCCCTTACACATGCGCGTGAAGCGTGCAATAGGCCCGGATGAGACTCAACAAATGCTATTGATGGTGTATTTCCGGTGTTTAATTTCACGTGTCTGGAAGTACTGATGCTGTCATATCTGGTGTTAGTGTTCACACAATGAAGTGGTCCCACATCGTTCTCATCCTCACAGCCTTCGTCGCAGGTAAGTAAATACGGTATCTGGTTCTTGACAGATACGTTTACAACTACATGTAGTTATCACGGTCCTCCGTTGGATGATTAGTGGCGAGTTAGACATATCTCCTAGACACACGGTTTCGAATATGTTTGATCGTGTTGTGACGTCAGGCAAACATAACGTCCCTCACACGACAATTAGCCTCGGTTCGATTGTAACGAAACTTCCAGGCTGCATACAGCTGATCTTATTTCAGTAAGAATGAAAACGAAACTCTCACTGACGTAACAAGGACTGTGGGGTACCCGGGTAGATGGTGGGGTAGTTTAGTGGTTAAAGCGTTCGCCACATGCTTGGGTTCATTTCTCACATGGTAATGATTCGTGAAGTCCATTTCCGATGTTCCCCAGTCCAAAGATTTTTATTTCCTATTAAATTAATCAGGAGAAGTAAGTGAAAAGACAAATCCTGAAACGTTGGAACAAAAATAGATGCCTTATTACAAAGAATCTTGTTTTCACATAGAAATTATATTTCTGTCTAATTGCAATTCTTTATCTAAATATAATTTCGCATAAATTAATTTTGACGATGTTTCAATCTAAAGATATATCGTTTTGGATTAAGCAAGGTGTATTGTGTCCTGATGGCTGTTGTAGGGCTGAGGGGTGATACTCTACCAACAGACGATGAAGATGGGCCGGATGAACTTCAGAGTTCCGGATCAGGTCAAGGTGAAGTTCCAGGTAATAAAAGATTGAAAAATCTGAAGCCTTAAGATCGCTACCATTCATTCTCCGTGACAGTGAATGTGAATTAACTCCAGGCACCACTTCGCTGGAGAGATGGGTTGTAAGAAACACATTTTTCTAAATGTGTACAGGATTTGGCCATATATCAAAGATGTGATAGTATTTATCATTTACGACATAGTTTTCTCTTGGAGATACTCATGCGGGTCTTTTTTAATCGTATCTCATGTTGGAATCCGGAACTTCAAATATTCTACCCTGCAAATTACGACATTAATTATACACACAGCACTCACTATACTTTATTCTGTTCTATTTCACTTGGTGACGGTGGGGTAGCCTAATGGTTAAAGTGTCTGCTGAAGACCCGGGTTCGATTCCCCATTTCAGTATATACCCGTGAAGATCCGGGTTAGAATTGATCTTCAGTAACCCATACTTGTCGTAAGTAGCAACTAACGGGATCGGGTGGTCAGGCTCGCTGGCTTGGTTGACACATGTCATCGTATCCTAATTGCTTAGATCGATGTTCATGTTGTTGATCACTGGATTGTCTGGTCCAGACTCGATTATTTACACACCATCGCAATAGTTATTTGGGTATTTTCTCCCACATCAAACTGACACCCTGTGATATAACTTATATCAATTTGCAGCTCCATGTTCAGTTTTAGTGACTAAAACATGTCTAGTATGTTCCTTGTTTATTCGACTGTTGCCGTAGACTCAACATTGTTAAAAATGCAATCAGAACGTGATGACCTAGTTTTGAAACAATCAAATGTAAAGCATCCTAGAGTAGCCTGGCCTAGATGTACCAGGCAGGAATGACAATATGGTTTCCGGGGAAACAAGCCCAGGACGTTCAGATGAAGGAGCGTCACTAAATCTGTACAACACACAAGTGGCTGGTATGGTCTTGCTCAGAACTGTCCCCCAGTTCCATCAGTACAGGGCCTCAAGTAGACTAATGTACATACTACTTCATCTCATTTGAATATATATATCCTTAGAATTACAAGTAACGTTTAAATGTAGCCGTTAGCAATTGTGGTGAAAACACAATGCCGTTTAGAAAGCGGTCAAACGTAGCGGATGTTATTTTTAGGATTACCCTCTTTCTCAATAAAGTACCGATTCTGGTACTTTTGTTGAGTCTGAGCCGGGATTCGAACCCAGACTCTCAGAGTCAGGCACCTAATTTCCAAGCAGACAAAGTCAGCCATCTAACTACATGTACTCAGCCACTGCGACTCCAAAGGGCTTCTCAGATCTGGCCTGCTTGGTATTTTTATACCAATTGAGACATTCACAATTTCAGTACTCGATTGGTATTAGAGATCTGTAACTAATTGTTTTTTGGAAAACCACTTTATTTTGATAAACCTAACAACTTTTTCAACGTTGTCCACACAGAAGAAAGCGGCGGAGATATTGGCTGGCTGTTCTACTTCATGATATGCTCCGGGATTGCAGCTGGCATAGTTATCGTGGTCGCTATCATTGTCCTTATCCACAGATTAAGAAGAACGTGAGTCTCAATTATTTTTATTTCTTTTAATATCTTAATGCCAAGTTATACAGCGTCAGTTGGACGTTGATCCCATACTGGTTGTAAATCGTAAAACCGATCCATTCAAAATGTCTTGAAGTACCTCGTAACATGAAATATATATACAATCTAAAGTTACAGTTACCGACAGCAGTTATAATGTTATGTCTGCTAAACCAGGTAAGTTACCAACGTAGTGTTTCATTGGAATATGTCCTATGGGTAGTCAAGTTCAATAGTAATTCTTTCATATCAACAGCCTTTCGTGCAGTTCAGATTGTTGGGTAAAGAAATGTTAGGTGTGTCGCACACATTATATCTCACCGACACATGTTTTGTGACATGGGTCGCACACATTATACCTCAATGACGCAACTTTTTCACGTGCGTCGCACATATTATATGTGTTTTGCCAGGTTTGGCCCAAACATTATGGGCAAAAGAAAATGTCTCTGCAAAAAGTTTCATAATATGAACTTAAGAAAATATAATCAAATGCAAATTGCCCCATAGTTATTGCCAACCACAAGGGTTCAATTCTGACCAATATCAGCGCTCAAACGCACCTCTTGACAACTTTGCATCGAAAACAGCAAAATGCACGTGTTTTGCAAGTAAGGGTAAAATGCACGTGCATGCATGGTATAAAACCACCTCACAGCACAGAGCAGATCGTACTTCAGCAGAAAACCACTGTACAATGCTGAGGTTAACTTCAGCTGAGCGAGAGAGGGCCATCGGAATGCTGCAAATGGGCGCTACAACGGGTCACGTTGCAAGAACCTTCAATTGCTCCGTCGTGACCGTCAGGACCCTTCGTCGGCGTAACCAGCAGACTGGTCAGACCTCAGACAGGCCCAAGACAGGCAGACCCCGGGTGACTGCGCAGGAAGACCTGAGGACGTTACACCTTGAAACCGCTTCCTGACGGTAACGTTATCAGCGTCAACAGCATTCGGTCACCCAATGAGTCGAAGGATAGTGTCAAGGAAACTACGGGCCTATGGTATCAGGGCCTACCGACCGTATCGAGGAACGCTGCTGACAGACCGACATGGTCGCTCGAGTTGTCCAGAACTTCTCTCACGCAAACAACGTCAACGTCCTGCTATGGCCTGCAAGCTCTCCTGGCATGTCGCCATTTGAGCACGTATGGGACTACCTTGATAGAGTTATTCAATGGAGACAGAATCCACCAGTTACAGTACAGCAAATGACTCAAGCCCTCGTCGAAGAATGGAGGCTGTTACGACGTAATCCCAGCTAACGTCATCAGACGCCTCACAACTTCAGCCAGATGACGTGTGTTTGTATGTATTCTATCCAGAGGTGGACAAACTCGCTATTAGATACTTCTGTTCACGCTTTGTTGTGTTTCCCGAATGGACCCACTGATCGTGAATTCTCTAGTTTGGCCCCATGTCGACCATAACCTGTTCAATAAGTTATCAGCCTTGCTAAAAATCGAATGTTTGTACTTAGCACGTGCCTTTGTCATTGCTTCACAAATAATAACTTGCAAACTTCGATTTCATGTTGTTATTTTTAAGTGAGATCAAATTGAAGGAGGAGAAAGTTTCTTTTGCCCTTCAGTATATATCGTAGTTACAACTTTTGTCAAGTGTGTCGCACAGATTATATATCGCAGATACAACTTAAGTCAGGTGTGTCACACATTATATATCATAGATACAACTTTAGCCAGGTGTGTCACACGCATTATATATCGTAGATACATGTTTGTAAGGTGTGTCACACCCATTATATACTCATGCCAATAATGGTTGTCACCCCCTTTAAGTGTTCAGTGAGTATATATCGTAGATACAGCATTTGTCAGGTGTGTCACACCCATTAAATATATCGTAGATACATCTTTTACAAGGCGTTTCACACGTTATATATCATAGATACAACTTTTGTCAGGTGTGTCACAGATTATATATCATAGGTACAACATTTGTAAGGTGTGTCACACACATTATATGTCATAGATACAATTTTTGTAAGGTGTGTCGCACAGATTATATATCACAGATACAACTTTTGTCAGGTGTGTCACACACATTGTATATCGTCCTTTTGTTTTCGATTTTTCAGACAGGAATCCCGAACGCAGAAACCTGTGGCTGAAAAACAGAAAAGTAGCAAAGAACACGTGTAATTTTAAACGGCCGGACTGAACGGTCAGCACGTGAGTCAAATTTCAGTAAACTTCACATTTCATTAAACCACAGAAACTATGTGCCCACGTTATGTATTATGCACATAAACTCTTTAAGACATGACATGTTTTTCTTCACTGCTTAGAAGAACAATGGCTGTTGTTACTATCTGTGATATTTCATGTGTTGAACATTATGTGTATAAGTAGTTTTGATATCGATTTTGCTGACCATATATTCATCTTTCGTATCAACTGTATTTCAGTCTTCAGGATATTCAAGTGTACATCTGTTCAAAGACAATATGGGGGATAAGTAACTCGAATACAAACATTAATATCACCGGACATATCAGTGCAATGTGTTATGTCATCCTGTTGTCTCCACACGTAGAAGAGTTCCCTTCATACACCTCAGGTATGGTTAGAGCCACGACCGAGGTGTGGTGCTACGAAACCAAGAATACAAATCGGTTCGAACCCATAAGCATACATTTCTATCAAGAGCAGTACCACTGCACAACACATTTCTTCATTGATGTGCATCTCGGTTGTGTACACAAATATGAACTATCAAGCGACTCGAATTGTCAATTTTTACGCAGGTGCTAATGTGATAATGTGATGCTGCGCCACCCATATCATAATCCCAGGCTTTGATGTTTCACCAATACACCCCTAAATGTTCTGTTATGAAAGAGTCATAAACAGTATAAAATAATGTTAAAACATAATATAATGAGGTTGATACTAATCGGTTCAGCATACAACCTTGTCTTATACACGAATGGTACACAAAGGTGTCTGTTATTTGGTGTAGTTGTCGATCCCGGTCACATCTAGTTCAGTACAAAGAACTCCACATGTTTGTAAGCGAACATGTTTTAACCGTTAAAATGTAAACAAATAAATAAATAGCAAACAAAACGTCCCGAAACAAAACAAAAACCGAACCCCACCAAAAACTAAGATAAATATTTCATATGATATCATTGTAAAGTGAATTTGGAATCAACGCAGACATACAAAGGTACATAATATATATTGATTAAAAATACCATAAGGCATGAAATTTTTTTGTATCATTAGTGCAAAGAGAAGCAAAATCATTCCTAATTTCGATGTATACGTCATATGCGATGTTAACACAGAGTAGTGCAGGTACAGTTAAAACGTAAACGGTTTTTACATAAATTGTCTTGTTATTAATATTTTTACTTTGCCATATTTTAGTTTTGATTCATTTGTGACATCCTCTCTACTATCATTATTAGATATACATTCTAGGTCTGTCAGCAAAATAATGCTTTCATCGGCATAACCAATATGATACAGCTCACAGCTTAGCCATTGAATTATTACAAAAGTGTCAAAAGCGACATTAAACTAAACCAATTCATAAACGTGGTAACTCGTTTTGTACCCAACAATCCTAATAAATGATAATCAATAATTGTTCCTTATAATCATGATTTTTATTTTATAACTGTTATAACCTTGGTGCACAAATCGTTTGATAGGTATCAAGTCAAAGATGACACTCAATCCCTACAGTGATTATATCATGGTTGGTTGGTTGGTTGGTTGTTGTTTAACACCGCACGCAGCAATATTCCAGCTATATGGCGGCGGTGTTTAAATAATCGAGTCTGGACCAGACAATCCAGTGATCAACATCATGAGTATCGTTCCACGCAACTGGGATATGATGACATGTGTCAACCAAGTCGGTGAGCCTGACCATCCAATCCCGTTAGTCGCCTTTTACTACAAGCATGGGTTACTGAGCCGGATCTTCACGGGTCGATCATATCATGAATATGTAATGCCCTGAAGATATGTAAACGTAAACTTCATAAAGAGTTACTTCCCCCTAAATTAGAGCCTGGGAGTGTAACAACAATGGCGTTACGGGCACATTATTAGTGGGAAATGTTCAGTTTCGTCGTTTTGTTTGTTTCAGATCATGATCCTGGATTCGACGCATGGAGGCTGCGAATGATCATTAATTACCAGAAATAGGATGAGGGCATTTTGACAATAACACTCTTCCAATGTTACACTCGCCTTGTGATACATTTACGTCAGACAGTGCCTTTTGAGTATGCACTCTGACAAGACAACAATTAGAGCGTACTGAAGAAACATCGAGCACTTACCTATGTATCAGTCTGCAGGCTCCTCACTGCGCCTGCTGTAAAGCTATGTTCTTGACCTTCACTCGTTCTTTACGCTGAACATTCTCCTCTTGAAGTACAAAACATCCGTGTTCACTTGTTTTCTTGATATATAACCACAGTTTGGGTCAAACCCTTCCCATGACTCAATGCTATACCTTAGAACCGAAGTTACTTCTCTAGTCCTGAAACACAACACTGTCCTCTGAGCATCTTACAAAAAGCGAGACTGTCCTTGGCGCACACGACATCGTCCATTCTCTTCCCACAGAGGTTAATTGTCATTTCTTCCTACGAACCTCTGTTCTAATACGGTCATATTTCCCGGGTCTCGTAAAATCCCCTAGCGGCAAAAACTCGCAACACGAATTATCTCCCTCCTTTCTGTCCAATCAGAACACGTGTTACATCAACTTGACTAATACAAGCAAATGTTGGGTCAAAAATATCCATCCTCTGCCAGGAACCTTTAGTTGATGTGACACACAAGGCATTTAATGGCTAGCTTGTCCGTTGTCAACGAGGGCGATGGAGACGCCATTGATCCTCCATTTACATGACTGAGTTCTGTCTATAAGAAATGTTTGCGCATCGCGCAGGGATAGAGGTTCTAGTTTTCCCGAAGCATACGGAAATAACCGAGGCCTTGCGAATGATCACTTTTGAAACAACGTCGTTGATTGCACAACTAAATCTGATTGCAACCAATCACGAATCCTGAACACTCGCACCATGAAAGGGCCGTATTAGAACAGAGGTTCCTAGGAAGAAATGACAAGTAACCTCTGTGGGAAGAGAATGGACATCGTCCAGCATAGGACTTTCCTTTACAGAGAAAGTGAGACACACCTATTGGTGTATAAGTCATAAAATAATAACTTACTATATGTTCAATAACGCCATGTGAAATTCTGACAATAAAGAAAACTACGATATATATGTTTTCGGTTTTCTTATATGAATAGAGTAACCAACAGTACAGTAGTATACCATGGGAATTGAGAGTACCAAGTACAACATCCGTATTTTGTTCCAACTATAGAGACACAGATATATTGTATTTCGTTCAAAAAGCAAAATACATTAATGTGGCTGATTGTGAGTGAAAAGTCCCATACACTGTGTGATTGAAGCGCCAAGAAAATACCAGTCTTGATTATCTCCCTTCACAAAACCCACCGGGTTACAGATATGTAGCGGTGCATATTATATGAGTGTTTCACTTGAATGTAAGAGCCAGTTTTTGAGCTGGTATGCCAGTTGCCTATTACTTTGATCATGCGACCTTTCCAAATTGCTGAACCGTTACCTGTCACGTGGCAGGTGGTTGCACGTAAAAATACCGTTGCCCAACGCCACATGTTTTTTACTTGTGATCCCACAATCTTTTGCACACCTTTTGAATCAAAAGTCAGCGGTCAGTGCATTTGACACGGTTATCTCTGACCACTAGTCATTTAGATTCTCTCACTCTCGTAACGTTGTGCAAACATCGAACTGGTCAAAGGTTTTAAAAATTTAAAATGTTTGCATATTTACGTTCAATTAAATCTTTTGAAGTTTTCAAGCTGATTACGTGATAAGCTCCACTTGTCTCATATATGCAATAAGATATTGTCTTTCTATACTGTATTCAGGATTATTATAGAAATAGTTTGAACAGTGACTTGATGGTCCCTTCAACATCACTCTCTACACTTATAAGGATCAGAAATTCAGTATACAGTTGGAATGAATAAACAGTCATACGTTCAAAAGTTCACACAGTTCAATAACGTAACATAATCAACACTCTGTATCAAAGTTCACTCACGTAACATATCAAGCACTCTGTATCAAAGTTCACCGACGTAACATAACCAAAACTCTATGTTAAAGTTCACCAACGTAAAATAACCAGCACGTCATCTCAAAGTTCACCAACGTAACATAACCAGCACGTCATCTCAAAGTTCCCTAACGTAACATAACCAGCACGTCATCTCAAAGTTCCCTAACGTAACATAACCAGCACGTCATCTCAAAGTTCAACAACGTAACACAACCAGCACTCTATCTCAAAGTTCACTAACGTGACATAACCAGCACTCTGTATCAAAGTTCACTAACGAAACATAAACAACGCTCTATATCAAAGTTCAACAACGTAACACAACCAGCACTCTATCTCAAAGTTCACCAAAGTAACATAACCAGCACTCTGTATCAAAGTTCACAAACGTAACATAACCAACGCTCTATATCAAAGTTCACCAACGTAACATAACCAGCACATAATGTGAAAGTTCCCAAACGCAACATAACCAGCACGTCATCTCAAAGTTCACCAACGTAACATAACCAGCACATAATGTGAAAGTTTACAAACGTAACACAACCAGCACTTTATCTCAAAGTTCACCAAAGTAACATAACCAGCACTCTGTATCAAAGTTCACAAACGTAACATAACCAACGCTCTATATCAAAGTTCACCAACGTAACATAACCAGCACATAATGTGAAAGTTCACAAACGCAACATAACCAGCACGTCATCTCAAAGTTCACCAACGCAACATAACCAACACTCTGTATCTCAAAGTTCAACAAAGTTCACCAACGTAACATAACCAGCGCTCAATGTGAAAGTTCACTAACGCAACATAACCAGCACTCTATCTCAAAGTTCACAAACGCAACATAACCAGCACGTCATCTCAAAGTTCATAAACGCAACATAATCAGCACGTCATCTCAAACTTCACAAACGTAACATAACCAGCACTCTATTTCAAAGTTCACCAAAGCATTATAACCACCACTCTATATCAAAGTTCACAATCGCAACATAATCAGCACGTCATCTCAAAGTTCACCAACGTAACATAACCAACACTCTATATCAAAGTTCACAATCGCAACATAATCAGCACGTCATCTCAAAGTTCAACAACGTAACATAACCAGCACGTCATCTCAAAGTTCCCTAACGTAACATAACCAGCACGTCATCTCAAAGTTCCCTAACGTAACATAACCAGCACGTCATCTCAAAGTTCAACAACGTAACACAACCAGCACTCTATCTCAAAGTTCCCTAACGTGACATAACCAGCACTCTGTATCAAAGTTCACTAACGAAACATAAACAACGCTCTATATCAAAGTTCAACAACGTAACACAGCCAGCACTCTATCTCAAAGTTCACTAACGTGACATAACCAGCACTCTGTATCAAAGTTCACTAACGAAACATAAACAACGCTCTATATCAAAGTTCAACAACGTAACACAACCAGCACTCTATCTCAAAGTTCACTAACGTGACATAACCAGCACTCTGTATCAAAGTTCACTAACGAAACATAAACAACGCTCTATATCAAAGTTCAACAACGTAACACAACCAGCACTCTATCTCAAAGTTCACCAAAGTAACATAACCAGCACTCTGTATCAAAGTTCACAAACGTAACATAACCAACGCTCTATATCAAAGTTCACCAACGTAACATAACCAGCACATAATGTGAAAGTTCCCAAACGCAACATAACCAGCACGTCATCTCAAAGTTCACCAACGTAACATAACCAGCACATAATGTGAAAGTTCACAAACGTAACACAACCAGCACTCTATCTCAAAGTTCACCAAAGTAACATAACCAGCACTCTATATCAAAGTTCACTAACGTAACATAACCAGCACTCAATGTGAAAGTTCACCAACGTAACATAACCAGCACATAATGTGAAAGTTCACAAACGCAACATAACCAGCACGTCATCTCAAAGTTCACCAACGCAACATAACCAACACTCTGTATCTCAAAGTTCAACAAAGTTCACCAACGTAACATAACCAGCGCTCAATGTGAAAGTTCACTAACGCAACATAACCAGCACTCTATCTCAAAGTTCACAAACGCAACATAACCAGCACGTCATCTCAAAGTTCATAAACGCAACATAATCAGCACGTCATCTCAAACTTCACCAACGTAACATAACCAGCACTCTATTTCAAAGTTCACCAAAGCATTATAACCACCACTCTATATCAAAGTTCACAATCGCAACATAATCAGCACGTCATCTCAAAGTTCACCAACGTAACATAACCAACACTCTATATCAAAGTTCACAATCGCAACATAATCAGCACGTCATCTCAAAGTTCAACAACGTAACATAACCAGCACGTCATCTCAAAGTTCCCTAACGTAACATAACCAGCACGTCATCTCAAAGTTCCCTAACGTAACATAACCAGCACGTCATCTCAAAGTTCAACAAGGTAACACAACCAGCACTCTATCTCAAAGTTCACTAACGTGACATAACCAGCACTCTGTATCAAAGTTCACTAACGAAACATAAACAACGCTCTATATCAAAGTTCAACAACGTAACACAACCAGCACTCTATCTCAAAGTTCACTAACGTGACATAACCAGCACTCTGTATCAAAGTTCACTAACGAAACATAAACAACGCTCTATATCAAAGTTCAACAACGTAACACAACCAGCACTCTATCTCAAAGTTCACCAAAGTAACATAACCAGCACTCTGTATCAAAGTTCACAAACGTAACATAACCAACGCTCTATATCAAAGTTCACCAACGTAACATAACCAGCACATAATGTGAAAGTTCCCAAACGCAACATAACCAGCACGTCATCTCAAAGTTCACCAACGTAACATAACCAGCACATAATGTGAAAGTTCACAAACGCAACACAACCAGCACTCTATCTCAAAGTTCACCAAAGTAACATAACCAGCACTCTATATCAAAGTTCACTAACGTAACATAACCTGCACTCAATGTGAAAGTTCACCAACGTAACATAACCAGCACATAATGTGAAAGTTCACAAACGCAACATAACCA